TGAGAGAAGTCCCCAACTTCTAGTTCACCTTCTGGTAAATGGAGCCTTCAAACTCTGTCCTATAGTTCACATTAGTATGAAGCAGGAATTCATCTGTCTTGTAGTCAGCTGTGAAGTTGCTCTGGGTCACTAGGAACTTCCCTATCTCAAAATTCATCTGGTAGCTAGCCAGCCAGCCAGCCCTCACAGCCAAGCAGTGGAGCACCCTGGATCGAGGGCTCAGCCTAGTTGATCTGCTCCCTCTTGTACCCAGCCTTGATTCTAGCATTGTTTTCCAGGGTTAGGAGAGAAGGATGAGTCAAAGGTCCTCTTCAGCCCACACATGCGCTGGTCTTTCACGGTGATCTCGGTGACCAGGGTATTGTCCAGTGCTCCACTTCTCTGTAAACGTCAGCCCGTCCTTAGTCCACCTGTACTTGGATTTCAGGCTGCCTTTCACTCTGGTGGTCTCTGTGTTGGTGGAGCCTGAGCTGGTAAATTCCAATCCATTCTCCGACTTTGTTTGCAAATCAAGTCTTATTAACCCAAAGCCGCAGCCCATAATAATGCCGTCTCTGGCGAACTTGTCAAGATCATGTGTGCATCTGTGGGAGGCACAGTCATTTTCTGAGAGGCTGTGATGGCAGGAGCAGGCGGGCTTATAGTTCGTTTTATACGCAGGGAAACTGAGGCATAAGTGAAGCAAGTAGGAGTAAGAATCCATAGGAATACTTCTGACTTGGCAGGCTGTGCCGTCTCCTGATGCATCGCTGGAGCTTATCTTACATTCTGTGAGAGAATAACTCGAGTTTCTTCAAAGAGCAGATTATCTCCAAGTACGAGAATGAAGAAATCCATTCAGTTAGGCAACATATTTTAGCTACACAATGGCTATCAAAGAAATTCAAATGATTGGTATTTCAGATTAAGGGGAAATAATTTATGGCTCCAAATGACATGAAAAGAAATTATTTGATATTAAATTTTTTCCTCACTAAAATATTTGCAGCATACCTAATTTTACTTCAAAAGCTATATATGATACAGAAAACAAGTTGCAATTGGGATTTGGCATCAAAACGTTTTTATTAAATTGTGTTTTCTTCACAGTTATTGTTAATATGACTGAAAATTGGCTGATGTGGCAATTAAGCTTTTTGACATGCTGGCTTAATTGTTAGATAATTAGTAGCTGTACTGTACTTACCAGACGATGGAAAATGTTGGTAATACAAAATCACTCTTATTATTTATTACAGCTAAGATAGTATTCTGAAATCAATATTTAACATACCAATATGAAACTTAATTTTTAAATATTTTATTTTAAACCCTTATATGAGTTTTATTTCAATAACTTAAAAAATGCTGCTGCGAAATTTTCAATTCATTACAGATGTTATTACAAATAACCACATAAATTTCAGAAAAAAAATTACACATGAGAAATGTATTTGATTCAAAGATCAGTTATATGAATGAATTTTTAGAGAGAATAACCCCAAAGTTGTTCATGAGAAATAACCAATTTTAATGTAAATTATTTTTAAATAACAAAATATTATGCTTATTTAACTATTATAATTTTGAAGCAGATACTGTTTCTCTCATCTTGAAATTTTTACGAGGAATTTTCCCAATGCCCCAGAACTTGTCAGTTAGATTAAACCTCTATGAATTACACACCTAATTTTGTGTCACTCCTCTCTGGAGTCTTTTGTTTCAGCAGTGTGAATCCACTTGCCGTATTGAAAATGAGCCACACAGGAAACAACTAGTTTCTGAGGGAGTAAAAATGTCTTAAGTGAATTGTGGTGCTGGTTGCACCACCCAGTAAAATTACCAAGCCATTGGGTTATATTCTTGGTGTGAAGTATCAGTGACATACATTCCAACAAGGTTATTAAAGTGCTGTGAGCATGGGAGACTGTGATATGTATGTGGCATTAGATGACAAGTAAAGAACGGCTAAGTCAGGTAAAGGCCAGGTGCATCTGGACTCCATAAGGAGAGCCTGCAGAAGGGTTATTAGAAACAAATGTCAACAGCGGTCAGGCAGATGGAAAAAAAAAAAAAAAAAAAAAAAAGGTGTGAGCTGAATGAACAACAGCATTAACTGAAACGATGTTCTAGGTGTAGAGGTTTCAACCCTGAATAGCCGGGTTGAAAATTCCATGCTTTTTCGAAGAAGTCCTATCATTTGATATTAACTTACAACCATTTTTGAACATTATTTTTTTTAGAATGCCATGCTGCGGGAAAACGTATGGGCAGGTACTTCCCCTGAAGTTTGTGTCCTCTCACATGCTTCAGTCTAACTCTCAGTTTATCATTGTAACCATCCAGGCAAAGATGCTGCTCATGGATTAAGTGTGTTTTTCAGAATATATCTAGACTAGATAAGACACTAGCCTTTTGCATCAAGCTGTGATGGAAGTTCATTTTTAATGTAGTTTAATTCTGTCCATTGTGTGATGCACAGCCTCTACCTCTCCTTCGTGCAGTTTGCCCTTTCTGGTTATATTATAACATAATACAAGTCAGCCATACAGCCATATAAATTCTGTGGTGTGTCGGTATGTGTGTGTGTCTGTAAATTACATTTGGCTCCTTCTAAAGAATCATCCGTGAATGAGATAAGTTATAGGCTAACCTGATATGAAGTGCTAATTGTTGTTTTCCATAATCTATGCATCCTTCAGAATTTGTTTTCTTAAGTGGAAAAAATATACGCATAGTAGAATCATAGTAACCATAATTTTAACTGTTTGGTTATGTGTTGCAGGACAATATCCATTAGTAAAATTAAAAGGTCCCAAGCCTGTCTACACACCTCGTAAATGATATTACAATAAGGGAAAATAAAATATAACCTTGTACTTAGAAAGATTATAATGTCAAAAGAAGAGACACTTAGAGATCTACTAAAAGCAGTTTATGTTAGTCAGTCCATAATAATATGGTTATTTTGCACTGATTTTGTCTGAAAGTTTAAGAATTCATTTTGAAATCACTGGGGAAACGAACCCCGTGAAGATCACTCAGAACCTACCCCATATCACACTCAGTGCATGCTCTTCATCCTGTGGCATTTTCTCTCTAGCCATCTGTTTCCTCCCTCCCACTTCATTTATGTTGCAAACATTCCTTATTAAATGGCTAATACCAAGTAAGGGATGAGATATATAAAGAGCAATAATGAAGAATAAGTGTTAGCTAGCAAATAATTAGCTTTCAACTAACTAGGCATTAAAATTAGTGCCCCTGGATTTAATAAGGAGGCTTTGAGTACCCTTTAATGAATTTGAATGCAATTTTCACTCCTCTCTCCATAACAGTGTTAACTCTTTCCATATAACTCTGATTTATTTCCATTGACAAAATACAGGAAATAAAGAAGAAGATTGTATTATTTCTATAAATATGGATGCTATTCAGAAGACAATTATGGAGATGATAAAGTTACAAATTAAATACTTTCATTGTCTTCATAGCATGTAAGAGGAAGAAAAAAACTCCAACAGCAAGTACAAGAGTTGTCATTTTGAAAGTAACAGTCTCACGACTGGGAAAAGTTTAAAGATGAGCAAAGGCAAGATGACAGCTTTTATAAAAGGAAAATCAAGGCTTGAATTAGAGTGTGACGTTTATAGATGATCTTCCAGCAAGATCTGTGGCAGGTATTATTCATTGCAGGAAACTGGAAGGTATAATACTCTGGAATAAGGATCACATTTTTCTCTTTGAGGTGATTTATATTTAAATGAGTTCTCTATAATCCTTTAAACTGAAGTGCAAATTGGTTATCAAAGTCTTTTGCTGTAAGGGTTGTTTTACATAATAATGAATTCTACAGAAGTTCCTCAAAGGGAAATATTGACTTAGGCAACATCACAGAATATTTCAGTTATAGCGATGCTTTAGATTATGGTCATAGACAGTGCTCCAAAACTTTCTAAAACTCTAAAGCTCTAAAACTCTAAAGTACAAAATATGTGCTATAAAAATTTCAGTAAAAGTTGTTCAATTTAATCTGTGATGTCTCTTTCATATTAACATGATGGAAAGAATTAATGATTGTTGTTATTTTTAATGAGATGTTTAAAAATATAGGTTGAATAGCCTTATTCTGAAGTGCTCCTGACTAGAAATGTCCCACAGCTTAGCCAGGGTTTAGGAAGGAGCGTGGATTTGATAATTTTTCAAAATTGTATTGTTTGTTGATTTGATTTTTAAGAACGGAAATTCTTTGAAAGTTAAGTCCCATGTGAGTGTCAGTACCAAACACACACACACACACACACACACACACACACACACACCTAGGTTTATTAACACACTCCCTGGAGCAAGATCTGAGAGAATCTTGCTTTACACAAGATGTGTAAAACACAAGTATCCAAATGTGGGGCTGCTCTGAGTTCATCATAAATATCATTCTCTGTCATCTTAAAACAACATAAAGGAAAATGTACACTGGCTAGGAGCTATGCTCACAGTTTAGAAAAAGCCCCCTGACTGGTAAGCCATCAATAATTTGACCTGTGGTTGTTAGGGAAATGCTGCAGGCTTCCAGGTTTCTGAAGTTGGGGAAAGACATTCCACAAGGTGACAGGCAAGATGGAAGTTGGGCTTTGTAATAATCATCTTTAGAACTTTTTTTTACTGTTCTGTGATTAATTTAATGAAATATGAATATTATGTTATCCTGATAATACTATCCATTACTTGCCTGAATTTTCTTATAAAGTACTTAATACTAAGAAAAGTTTAATTGTGCTTCAACTGTTATTGATTGTTCCACTTAAATACTATCCTTTTATAAAACAATCTTAGAAGTATTCATTCATCTTCTCCAAAAGTAGTCCCATTCCATCAGTGCAATTCTTGGCTTATAAGAGTTTTTTGAGGCTTTGTGTTAACTTAGTGACTCAGCTGATGTTTCTCTTGCCTGCATTGTATGATTGATGGTATTGAGCTAATTCCAACCTGGCTGTGGCCACAGATTTCTTTCCACTTACCTGCTTCTGCCTTTTGCTGTTTCTCAATCTTCTCCAGGCGCCCTAGCAAGGAGTCAATTTTAGTTTTGATCTGGGTTAATTCTTTCTTGATTGTCAGTAACTCATCTGATTTCACTGGAAGGGGAAAAGTGGAAAAAAAAGAAGATATCAAAAAAACCACTTAGAACACAATTCAAGACAGTGCTTCTCAAGATTGTCTTATACATTTCCCAATGAATCATCAGCTTTGTGTCACAGCTAGTCATCCTGAAATAATGAAAGTCTTTGCTAATTACAAAGAAGGATCTTAGTGACATGAGAATCTGATACTCAATATTCTAACTGAAGGTCACATGAAAGAATAAATGAATCTGAAAGCATTTTCAACAGAACAAGGCCATGTCTTGACTTTCTCAGCAAGTAAGAGAGAACAAGGCTTCATAAACACTCAATGTAAAACTGACTTGGTTTAAGGATTAGTGATAGCTCTTCTTAATACCACTTTGAATCATCATCTTGTGATATAAAATGTTTGTGTGTTTTGATTTTGAGATAGGGTCTCAATAAACAGTCCATAATAAACAGAACACTGCTCCATAGCCTTCATTCATGACTAGTGAATAATTCAGTGAAAGATCAGTGAGATTTTTTTAAGCCAAATCTTGGAGGATTGATTGAAACAAAAGTATAATACTTGTTATTGAGAAAATGTGCTATTTCATGAGTTCTTTCATATATAACTCTTCTGATAAATGTATATCAATTTGTTTCAATTCTAGCTTTTCAATGTTTAATCTTATTTCTAAAGAAAAATGGGGCAGAGGATTTAGTTCAGTGGTTGAGTGATTCACTGGAAAGGAAATGGTCCAGGTTTGCTCCCCAGCAATAGAGAAAAAAAATGATTAAAAATCAAATAGGAGAGAAAACACATATTTTATTAATTCCTTGCCAATTTAATTAACCATGTGTTTTTTAAGAGGCTTAAGAAAACTCCTGGGCATATACCCAAAGAATGTTCCCTCCTACCATGAGGACACTTGCTCAACCATGTTTATAGTAACTTTATTTGTAATAGCCAGAAACTGAGAACAGCATAGATGTCCCTCACCCATAGAATAGCTAAAGAAAATGTGGTACATTTACGTAATGCAATATTATTCAGATGTTTAAAAAAATGACATTATGAAATTTGCAGGCAAATGAATGGAACTAGAAAAAAAAACAGAATAAGGTACCTTGGACTCAGAAAGTTAAACATTCAATGTACCCAATTCATGAAAAAAAAAAGTTGTAAAGGATAATCACATTACAATCCATAGTCCTATAGAGGGTAAGTAACAGGAAGGGCTCAAGGGAAGGGGGAGGCAGGGATCTCTCTGGGAAGGGAAAATAAAATGTTTTGTGGATTGACTGAGGGCAGGCAGGGATGGGAACAGTAGGGATTAGGTGTAGAGTGGAGAGGGAGATAATACTGGGAAAGATAATAGGAATTGGGGGATATTTTGGTGGCAAAGTAGAGACCTTCAGTGAAAACAACTAGAAATCCAAGAGGTAACTCTAGCAAAGCCACCTAGCAGTGGAGGATATAGCCTGTCTGGTCATCCTTTGCAACTAGTAAAGGCCCCAGTGAGGGATCTGGGATACCAACCCAGCCACAAAAGCTTTCACCAACAATTAGTTTTGCCTGTAAGATGTCCTGGGGTAAAAATGGTACAGAAATTGTGGGAGTGGTTAACCAGTGACTGATCAAGCTTGAGATCCATGCTACCACAGGTAGCCCACCCCTGGTACTGTCTGGAGGGTCAGGAACCAGAGGCTGGTTAGCTCAGAGAGGAAGGATACAATAAAACATGATGACTGACAGACAAAAAACAAAACAAAAGCCAAAGTCATTGAAATGACTCCTAATGATACTTTGTTATACTCTTAGACTGGAGTCTTGCATAATAATCATTAGAGAGGCTTAGTCTAGCAACTGAAAAGAGCAGAAGCAAGGACACAGCCAATATTAGGTGGAGCTCTGGAAATCCTGGACAAAGAGGGAAGGATTGTAGGAGCCAGAGGAGTCAAAGACACACACAAGCAGTGCCCGCAGACAATTAACCAGGGCTCACAGGGGCTCACAGAGATGACAGTTGGGGAGCCTCTATGGGTCTGAGCTAGGTCTTTTGCATATTTGCTATGATTGTGTAGCTTGATGTTCTTATGGTACTCCTAACACTGGGAGCGGGGGTCTGCCTCTGACTCTTTTGCCTGCTTTTGGGACCCTTTTCCTTCTACTAGGTTACCTTACCATCTAGCATTAATATGAGATGCCTAGTCTTGTTATAAGTTGATATGCCATGTTGGGTTGGTATTCCTGGAGGCCTGCTCTTCTCTGAAGGGAAAGGACAGGGAGTGGATCTGGGGAGAGTATAGGTGGGAGGGGGAAGGGGCTGGAAGGCGAGGAGGGAGGGGAAACTGCAGTAGGGATGTATTATATAAGAAAAGAATAAAGAAAAAAATACTGACAATACCGTATTAAAATGATTTTTATCTATATAAGAGTAAAGAGCTGGGAAATGTCACCCACTGGGCATGACAGAGCTTGTGTCGTCAAGAGCTTACAGAGGCTGTACCTACCGCCATTGAGCCTACGAAAGACTGGACTTGCCAACAACCAATCAGGGATTGTGAAGGACTCACAAGCTGGACTCCTCCTTGTTGGATTATGGGCTACTGGGAGTGGCAGTCATCGTCCTCAGTACTGTACCCACTGGTAATTTTCCTACAATAATCTCATGTTTACACAGACCTCTCTGGTTAAACACAGACGCTTGTAGAACAAAACCAAAGAGCATGAATGTGAAAAGGGGCAAATGAAAGGGAGGAGGTTAATGGGGATAAGATGAAGAGAAGAGAAGACGGAGAGTGAGAGTGACCAGACAAAGCTTATACAAGAGTTAAGGATACAAAATATGATGTTTTTTTTCTAAAAAATTCAGTAAATTATTCTTAATTTACTTATCTGAAAAGCACAAGTGGTTTCGTCACAGATACACAATAGAGACCTTAGATTCCAACAGACTCACAATTCTTGAGCTTCATCAGGAAGGTAGTGAGGTCTCAATACAGACCTGTGCTGCCTACATGAGATGCACACATTTTTTTTTTTGTGATTTTTACTTCAAGTTGATAATCACTCCAGCTTAGTCATTTTTCCAGAATTATGAATAAATTAGTGTTAAGCTGAATTTTATGTATTTGACAGTTCTAATATATGCAGTATGATACCATACATAATATAGTTGCTTGTCAGAGGATAGAAAGAGATATTTCCCAGTCTAAAAAAGAAATACTTTCATATTATTAAATCAGAATTCTAAAGTGAAGTTTTCTGTCTAGTGCAAAGTACTTTGTAAGATTAAAAACTGCAAGAAACAAGAGTCTCCTACAATTCCATGTTAGAATTGTCCAACTAAAAGGAAAATGCACTTTAAACAGTGACTCACTCTGGATGTCAGTTATTCCAGGCATCAAAGTACCATTGTTGAATTGTAGCTAAATTTGAAAAATATTATCTGTCACTATGAGAAATTGATTCTGCTTTGAAGAATGATATTTATTTCCCATGGTAGAGGTATATTATGTAGTTTTACTTTAACCTATCAGTTTTAATAATAGACAATATTTCATCAGATAAAAAGTTTCAATGATGGAAAATGGGACTGTTCTAGAATTAGAACCCATTTCTTAGGAGATAAGTCAATCTTTAGAGCTAATTGATTAATTTCAATTTATCATATTAGAAAAAATAACTTGGTAAGTCATCAACATGTCAAATTATTAAACCTGCATTAAAATGCACCTAGACATTTGGGTTTACATGACAGGAACCTGTAAGTGTCCAGGGAGCCAAGGGTTGAGGTTTAGTCTTACACCAGTGTTTTGTAAGATCAGAGAATGACTCCATTAATATTTTTTAATCTAATTAATATTATTGAAGCTTATAAAGGCATACATTCCTTAAAACAAGGAAAGTCCTGTCAGTTTTTTCAGAGCCCAACCATGTAATAACGAAACTAACCTTGTAAGGCTGCCTAGCTCCTCCTCCCATAAAAAGCATGAAGTGCTACCAAGGGGTTTTCCTGTGTAGCCTTGGCTGTCCTCTATAGACCAGGCTGGCTTCAAACTCACAAAGATCTGCCTGCCTTTGTCTCTCATGTGCTGGGATCAAAGGCATGCACCACCACTGCCCGGCACTAACAAGGGTCTTAAGAGCAGGCTGCATTAACATTGTTTCTGCACCTCCTGTAGCCATAGAAGTCAATTCCTCATCTCAGTGCTGTGTTTGGAGGAAGGTCTGTGTCCAAGTCCAGGCAGTGAACTGCAGTCATCATCTACTTTTCTCAATCAGAGTCAAAGTCCCCATCCAGTTTCAGTCTTTTGGTCTCATGACCTTTTCCTAGAAAGAAGTCCTCAGAAGAGGAACCTCTGTCCCTCTGTTGCTCTAATTCCTCTCTCCCTCTTTATATTACCCCCTCTCTGTAAACATTGTCTCTGCTGCAGTATATTACCCTACATAATGTTAGTTCATTTACTGAAAAAGGGGCACCTTTGCTATTCTGTATTTCTAGACTTAGAATTTTAGAATTCTGCAAAGTTGCTTTCTATGTTTTTCCAAAAGCCACATGTTAAATAAGAATTAAAGACAGCTGTAGGTCCAGTATTTTGGATACATGTTCATTCCCTCTTATTTTGCTTTCCACTCAACTAGCCTCTTGTAGACAGTTCTCAAAATAATGTTTATAAATAATAAGCCTTGTACTTAACATTTCCAGAATCTCTCTCCTTTCTATAGCAAGGGAGATAAGATACACATTCTTTTTTTTAAAACTTTTTTTTAATTTTTTATTAATTACACTTTATTCATTTTGTATCCCCCCATAAGCCCTTCCCTCCTCCCCTCCGGATCCCACCCTCCCTCCCCTTTCTGCATGCATGCCCCTCCCCAAGTCCACTGATAGGGGAGATTCTTCTCTCCTTTGTGATCTTAGTCTATCAGTTCTCATCAAAAGTGGCTGTATTGTCCTCTTCTGTGGCCTGGTAAGGCTGCTCCCCCCTCAAGGAGAGCAACAGAACAAGAAAATTTGAAC